CTAGTCATTATTAGCTAGTGTACGTACAAGATATTAGTCAAACCAGAAACGGAAGGAATAGAGTCAAAATCGAAAGCGCTAAACGAGGTAAACCAGCACGCCAGTTTTAAATGCAGGGTAACCTAATTTCAAAGATACAGTATTTGTTCTAGGATAATAGCAAGGGGGATGTTTGCTTGACTGTTCACTGTCCCTTATCTTTCCGTAAAATCGTCCAGATGTGCGGGCCTTCTTGGGTCCGCTGCCCCAAGAGTAGATTTCATAGTCATCCCCAGGCTAAACCCGGTACATTTTAAAACCAAGATGGCCACCTGTTAGAGAATGTGCTTGATACCGACGATTTACGGAAAAATAGAGGACTGTGAACAGTCTAGCGGACCTCCTGCCAGCAAGCACACTCCACCCCTATCCCCAGGCCCACCCTGATTCGGGGAGCTTGATAAAAATGCAAACTTAAACGACAAGCATAAAACAAAACAAAGAGAAAGCTCATAGCGACAACCAATTGTTTTATAAATGTTAACCTGAATGGACAGGAGCCTGTTCGAGGAAAACTAAAAAGTTGTTGTTGTTAATGAACTGGGCACTTATGCATGCGTGATTCTTGATATTGTAGCTTGTCAACGAAAACAGCAATAAATTTAATAGAATACTCTATTGATAAGATAATTTCCTGCCTTTCAATTTTAGTCAGACTAGCAAACAGTGTTTTCACGGCGTAACGATTCCACATATAGGAATGCGTGACAGGAGCCATCATGTGATATCAGTTTTGTGTACACAGCGAAGACGACTCGATCGGATCAAGCGCTGTAAACAGGTTCACCTGTAGTATTAATGCGTTCGGCTTAAAGGCTTTCCTTTCCTACATGATGTTCTATTGTGTCAAAAGTCACAAAAAGTTTAGAATACTTGATACATTTGATGAATTATTGTGTTATTCGGGCTTTGCATTAAGACCTTCCATCGTGTATTGTAAACAGTCATAACGGAAAATAGGCATATTTCGTCGATCGGCTGTGCTGATAAACCGTTAAAATCACAACATATTTTTATGTTTCTATGTTTTTGGACATTCCCTTTGTTGGTCTGAAAAGACATTTTGTTTAGAAGATGTGGGGATTTTGCACAGTGCTACGATGAAAATATGCATTTTTGAGTCATTTCCTGCGTACGGCAAAGTGGGTGTAAATCAAACAATATTTAGTAGACACGAGTTGTTTTTGAAGGACCAAAATTGTCTCCTTTACATCATTTAAGGACCAATTTAATCCTAGGAAGTGAAAAAAATCGTTGAAAGTGCAAAACTTTGAAGTGGTGAACTCGGCAATATGCGCTATTTTTACTCTTTGTCACTGCAAAAATTTGGCCTCCGAGTGCTGAAGTGATTTTTCTCCCGAAAACTTTTATTTTGAAATATTTTCAAAAACTAATGTGGTTTCAATTACTTTTGGACTAAGATATATTCATGGGCAAAGTTTAAAGGAAATTGATTTTCCGACCCGAAACGCAGTGGACCGGTTTTAGGGAGACTCCTTCTTAACATTTAATATTAAAGGACGACAAAATTTGGGAATTGTTGGCAGAACAGGAGATGGAAAGTCGTATATCGTGGCAGCCCTTTTGCGCATGCCTGAAGCTGAGGGGGGAATATTCATTGACGATGTTTCAGTAAACAGAGTTCAGCTGCAAGAATCGCGAAGGTGCATCTCTGTACTCAGCCAATCGCCTGTCCTCTTCAGTGCTTCGCTTAAGACAAATCTTGATCCTTTGAATAAACATAGTGACAATGAGCTATGCCATGTCATTAAAGAAGTCAAGTTAAATCGCCTGGTTGAAGACCTCGAGGGGCAACTTGACTTCAAGCTTTTAGAGAGAGGCGAAAACGTAAGTGTTGGTGAACGGCAGCTGATCTGCTTAGCTCGCACATTACTACAAGAGTAAGATCGTTATCTTAGATGAACCGACTGCGCACGTGGATCCAAACACGGAAAGGACCATTTGGGCAACCGTGAAGGAGAAACTTAAGAACTCTACAATCATCACCATAACTCATCGACTTAATACCGTCAAAGACTGTGATTTAATTTTGGTATTAAGAGAAGGTCAGGTGGCCGAAATAGACACATTCAATGCACTTATGGGGCAACAGAGAGGAATTTTTCAAAGTTTGGCTGCGTCTCAGGGATTACTTTCTTAGTTTTGCTTCTTCATTTCCGGCAGGCTTACTCATCAACCATAGAGTGCGGCTACAATAAGTTCAGTTATAACTACCACACATTCGTTAGTTTTATAGCAAGCAATCCTTAACTCAGGGGTACCCAACGACTGTTTTATGTGAAATATCTTTTCTCGAAGAAGCGAATATTGCCTACGTTTTTCTGTAGCTTGAGCTCGGCTAAAAATCTCTAAATGACCGTTCCATCCATGTGCAAATTTCGGAGCTTTTTGTAACAAATCTGTACTTTTCTGAAGTTTAATTTTTCACCTTTCCTTCCCCAGGCAGGGTTCTAACTAGGGTATTTGAGGAGTAGATGCTCCCCCCCCAAAAAAAAACCCACCTTCCCCCCCAAAATATTGTTATCATTACAGTATATAAGTAACTGTATCAGAAAAATCATCCAGACGCGACGAGGTCAGTGCACACACTGTAACATTTCTCAAAATTGTGTCTCAAAATGCACCAGATTAATTGCGTCTCAGCGCATATTCATTTCAAAACATTTTCGGGAGAGCATGCCTCCAGACCCCCCCTTGGAAGCTCGTGGCCTAATAAGATCCGGCCACTCGGGAATTCTCCCCAAAACGATAAATTCTAGATAGAACCCTGCCAGGTTAGGCTATATTTCTTGGACAAAGGAGCTAAAATCTTCGGATTCGAAAATGAGGGGAGAATATAATCTCCTTTAAACCTTTTTTCATTTTTTTCGGGAAAAAATACTGAAGCCCTTGACATTTCGAAAAGAGTCAGTTTACCCTACCGAACGATCCGGACGTATTGGGGCGACTGGTAGTTTCCATATGATCGTGTCGATTGCCTCAAAGGCAAGAGACGCGGGGTCGTCAGCGATGTCTCTGGGTCAGACAATAGAATTTTTGCGCGTGTTTTGCAAACAAAACGATTTATAATCGCAGATCGAATCTCGTACCTTGGTATCCGCTTTTTCTCTTGATTTTGCGGCATTGAGAAGCTAGAAGAGTTCCCCGAAGACATAGTATCTCTTCGAAAACTTGATGTCACGGACTTTCTCTAATTTAATTCAAATAAGCCCCACACGCCAGCTGATACGCGCTGCGAACATTTGTGTATTATTTTTTCGGCTTCAGCGCCATCCAGGTCGAATTTATTCTCGATTTCTAAAATAAAAGTGATGACTTCTGGGATAGCCTTCGATCGTCCCGATCGTCTCAGTCGTCTGAGAGCGTTTCCATATGATCGCTTCAAAATTTACATGAACGTTTGGATCGTCCGGATTAGAACTCAACTCTATCCAAGCGATCGAGGTCGTCTCAGTCGTCCGGGTCCTTTGCGATCGTCTGGGTAGCGTTTCCATATGATCGTCCCAATCGTCTGAACATTTTTTGAGACGACTGGGACGATCCGGACGAGAACTAATTTCGAGAGATCTAAAATATGCTGGATAGCCTTAAAACTGTTTTCAATGTTTTCAGAGGAAACCGACGTTTGGTCCAGCTTTTCAATTTCTAGCAAGTATATTTATTTTCCTTTAAGAAAAAGAAAATTACACGTTAGTCTCCTATTAACGGCGGCCCAAAAGTGTCACGGCAATTTCAAATTTCAATTGCTCACGGCAATTTCAATTTTACTCACGGTAATTTAAATTTGTTCACGGCAATTTTAATATGTTCACGGCAATTTCAATTTGCTCACGGCAATATCAATTTACTCACGGCAATTTCGCAATTTTACTCAAGGCAATTTCAATTTTTTCACGGCAACACTCACGCGGCAGGATTTTTCCGCGGGTGACGGGTGACGGGTGACGGGTAGCGGGTAGCGGGTGGCGGGTGGCGGGTGACAAATTGTCAGGCCGTCAAAAATAAAAAAAATAAAAATAAAAAGTGGAAACCAAAAAAAGAAAAAAGATAATAAACCTTACAAAAAGCGATATTTTAGCACGATATCGCACGATATCGAATGCACGAGATAAGGTACTATTTATCTTGAGACCAGACCAGTAAGATTGTATTCTCTTCTCGACATGTTTGAACAGTGTCTCAG